ACAGTGACCAGGGCTGGTTTCTTTCCAGTAAAATTTCAATTTATTAGCATGTGAAATAGGGCCGTCTAAGCCTTACATTTTGTAAGCCTCCATTTAGTAACTTGGTTCTGTTAATAACAGAAGAAACTTCCCTCTCTGTCGATGAGACATTTTTGCTACTGTTACGCTAGAAACGGACTTAGGAATGAAGAAGTTAGTGTATCAGTTGGCTTGTACTTCTCCCAGCTCAACCCATCACAGTTTCCCTGGGGAAGGCCGGAAGCTTCCAGAGCTAAGGAGATGAACCTCAAAGAACCAGATTTGTCACCACACGGTGCAGCCATTTTTCTTGCCTAGGACAGTCTCTTTTCACACCTGACTTGAGTTCTCCACCGTGTTTTCATTAACATGGTACAACTTTAGAGTAATACTTATGGACGAAGGGATGTGGTGTGACATCTTCACAGGCAGCAAAGGCTTAGAAAGAGTGACTGGCCGCCTGGCTAAAATTAACAAGTCAGGAAACAGCAGGTGTTGGCGAGGATGCAGAGAAAGGGGACCCCTCCTACACTGTTAGTGGGAATGCAAGCTGGTGCAGCCCCTCTGGAAAACAGGAGAGAGGTGCCTCAAAAAGTTACAGATAGAACTACCCTATGACCCAGAAGCTGCACTATTTAGGTATTTACCCAAAGGACACAAACATAGTGACTCAAAGGGACACATATACCCCAATGTTTATAACAGCAATGCCCACAATAGCCAAAATATGGAAAGAGCCCAGTTGTCAATAGACAGATGAACGGATAAAGATGTGGGGAGAGGGATGTGTGTGTACACACACACACACACACACAGAGGAATATTACTCAACCATCAAAAAGAATGAAATCTTGCCATTTACAATGATGTGGAAGGAGCTAGAGGGTATTATGCTAAGCAAAAGAAGTCAGAGAAAGACAGATACCATATGATTTCACTCACATGCGGAATTTAAGAAACAAAACAGAGGATCATAGGAGAAGGGAAGAAAAAATAAAATAAGCTGAAAAGAGGGAGACAAACCATAAACTCTTAGCTCTAGGGAACAAACAGGGTTGCTGGAGGGGAGGTGGATGTGGGAACGGTGGCTGGGGGATGGGCATTAGGGAGGGCACTCGAAGTAATGAGCACCGAGTGTTCTATGCAACTGATGAATCACTAAACTCTACCTCTGAAACTAATAATACAGTATATGTTAATTAAATTGAATTTAAATAGAAAAATTTAAAAAAAGTGACCTGAAGAGAGAGAGCCATAGGGGACAAGTAATAACCCTCTGGCCATCCAGGAATAAGAGGAAAGAGAAGCGTGAGAGAGAGTCTGAGCTTCGGCATAATCCCTAGACTCCTCCATATCTAGAAGAATTCGAATTTCCACTAGCACAGAACTGTGTGTTTACAAACACCTGGAAGGGTGGTGTGGCCCATCTGTAGTGCACGGCCAGGCACAAGCAATTGAATAGTTTGGAGAAATGGATTAAAGGCTCGGTACTCCCTGAAGTGTTCCGGTTGTAGTAAAATAAGTACCAGCACTCGCTCTAGTCTCTGCATATGGTGGAGCGAGCAGCTGGTGGTCCGACTCCCACCACGGGTCCTCCAGGCCTTCCTGTCAGGTATGGGTCAGTATGGAGTTTGCTACTTTTAAACTTCTCAGTAAAGATTTGGGTAAGAACTCAGGAGGGTCGCATGTATTTGCAGGAGGGCTAGGAACAAATAAATAGACTAGCTACCAAAATTTCACGACTCTGATTATCCAAGAGCTGCGACAGGAGGGGACAGGCTGGAGAAGACTTTATCAGACAGGCCTCCAGCTGTGGCCCTGGCCCAGAGCTTGCACTGAAGGAAGGCCTGGGATGTGAGCAAGATGTCTAGATCCAAGATTTGCCCTCAGTCGTGAGTATGCTGCCCCTCCCCGGCCCGATCTAGATTGACTCCTTTTTCTCCTTTGCCCTCTGTCCTCTGGCCAGAGCAACAGGAAGAACAGATTCTTGGACTGGTGATAAAGGAAGTCCATACGCCAGAGAACCAGACTGTCGCCAGTCGTGGCGGTTCAAATATACACCCACCCTGTTATTCGTAGCTCAAATATACCTTATACTTCCTTACCTCTTATCATTTCCTCCATCACTTGGAAGGCCACACTCCATCTCCTCAGCCCTCCAACTTCCTTTTTTTGAAATAGTTCTCATCCATTAGTGATTAACTCAAATATACCACCTTTTGGATCAAATTTCCCTGCCGAAATGCACTTCTGTCCACAACAGCAGCACTCACATACTAGACCCCTTACAGAGTACGCCGCTCGCTGATACCGAAACCATTTCATCCTCAACATAATCACAGAACCTCGACATTGTCTTCAGTCACCCTTTACAAATGAGGAAACCTAAGCACAGAGAGGGTAAGTCACTTTTCCACGGTCACTCAGCTAGGAAGTGGTTCTGATGATTATTATAAATATGCTACGTATTATCACGATGCTATGAGGAAAGGAAACCAGAATCTTTAATAAGGCTTTAAAAAATAAACAGGTTCATATATTGGGTTTGAAATCTTCTAGTTAATGGATACAGAATTCCTAATCTTCACACCTTCCGCACATCCAAATTTGGTCAAAAGTACAAGGCTTGGACTTCAATTTCAGGAAGTAGGCATGGCGGAAGTGTGCTGGAGCCTGTTCTTTCAGGATCAAGTCCAGTGACTGTGTCTGAGCCCCACCCCTCTCACCTGATGTCCATTCCACTCGTTCAGGGGCAAATTGGTCACACTATAAATAGTCCCTGCGCGTTACCCAGAAGGCAGATCCACCCCACGGACCGCAGATTTACCTGCGCCCCTGGACTTGAATACCACAGTCGGGTGTGTGCCCGCTCTTCTAGAGGGAGGTTTCAGGATGTCTGCCAGATTCCCCGAGGGGTCTATAAATTACAAGTATTAAGAATGGCTGCCACTGTTTGAGAGGCATCGTAGAGGCAGACGAGCTCTGTGACTATGGGGGCAGAAGGAGCATTTCTGAAAAGATGAGAGTCTGTGGTGGGATAGAAGAGTGTTTGCTGGATACAAATGAAATGATTCCTTTCAGGGGGTAAGGGCTTCGTGAGAGAGAGTGCCTGTATGTCGATGGCACCATTGTCCTTCTGTGTTAAAGTGGTTGGGAACTCGAGATACTTGCCCATTCCCACCCCTCCATCTCCAGCACTTGACAGTTTAGGATCTAAAACAAATAGAGTGACTCATCGAAAGCCACGCAGTTCAGGGCTGGGATTGACTAGAGTCCAGAGCTCATTCTCTTTCATGGTCCCTCCCCCTTACTTCACAGAGCATCCTAGGAAATGCTGGCTTACAAGCAGGGGTCCACACAAGAAACCTACATCCACCCGCAACCCAGGGTAGCAATGCTCGTCATCTGGCTCCAGGGAGTTCTATACAAGAAACAATCCTCTTTTAACACTTTCTCTTGTTTCCTTTCTACCCCAAACACTTCTGATGGCCACCCTCAGGACACCAGGAGGTAGAAATGGTGTAGGCAGGAGAATTTATGTACTGTGGATCTCATTTGAACCTCAAAACAACCATACAGATGCCAAAAAAAAAAAAAAGATAATCCTCATTATCCTACCTCAATTTTAGGATGGCAGATATGGGGACAAGGTCTTTGGGAGATCCAAAATGCAGGAAACACCCCCCCTGCATTAACTGACCAGATGTATTTATTGTATATTCTGCAGAGCAATTATAGAGGTGTATGTTTCCATAACCATCTCTTCTGCCCAGTGTATCTGAAAGCATGCAGAAGTTTTGTCTTGACTGGGAGAAAACCGAGGTACAGAGAGCAAGTGGTTTGTCCTGGGCCATATAAAAAGTACCAATTTCTACCAGAGAATTATCCCTCTATAGTGTAAAAATGTCCCTCCTAGTGAGGCCTTCATCCTAACAAAAATGTTACCATCATGAAACAGCATATGTAATTTATAGATTTTTTTTTTATAGATAGGAGTTTCTGTATTTGCAAAGTAGTATGTGGTAATACCTCCGACAGAATTTTCCCCTTTTAAAAAAATAAGGAACTTTAAAAGCAGTGGGAAGGTTTTAATGATTATAAACAGACTATGATTCCTCTTGTCTTCAACTGAGAATATGCTTCATTTGCCAGTTGCTTGCCCTCTAAAAAATTCCAGTTCTTAAGAAATCCAAGATACTTCAAGATCTAAAATAATGCTTAGTTTCAATCATTAGGAAATTACTTCTTCCCCCTATAAGCATTTTACTCTGGTAAACATCTCTTCTCAGAACTCTTCTTAAAGATCACTATTCTTAAGTAAGCTGAACAAAGACACTGATGGCAGGTTGCACACATTTTGGCCTAGGGAAACTTTACTATTTTGAAGGAACCCCTGGATAAATCGTGTATGAAAAGATTAGAATTGAAGGAAAATTTACCGGTAATCAGTCTAATCTTCTACTCTGGGAAGGACTCTGATTTACAAAACATCTGACAAAAAACCAAGCAGTGTCTACTAGAATACAACAAATGCCGGGGAGCTCACTACCTCACAATGGTGTACACCTTTGTACAGCAATTCTTATTTTACGGTTCTTTCTGAGTTTAAATACAAATCTCCCTACTCTTAAGGTTGGCCCACATCTGACTTCTGAAGTGCCACAAAGTCTCTTCGTTCATCACCTGTCAATTCTGAAGACTTGATTCCTTGCTTTAAGCTTTTGTTCTTCGTATAAAACACCCTTCGTTTCTTTCCCTGGTCTTTTCGTGCCTGAGGTTGAGATCTGTCAATACCCCTTCCAGCACAAAGTCATTCTCCTCTCAATCTGTTATAATTTACTGATCTCCTTTTTAAAGCAGCATCTCAACTTTTATACATCTTTGGTAAATTCCAAAAACTGATACTGCTGAGAAATGCCCTTGCTTTCTAACTAGTCACTGTGTTTTTCCAGTGACATTAGGTCTGTTCTCCCAGGACATACCTTTGCCAAAGTCTCATCATCCAGGTGATTCTTCTGAATCACATGTTGAAGTGCAAAATAAATTTTTTCCTGAAGCTTCTGGACCTTCCTTGGTTCTATCAGCCAGGCTCGGTCTGACAAAGGAAAAGAATTAGGTAAGCGTGGGGGGGGGGGAATGTTAGCTTTCACCGCATTTATAGGTGCTGAGTTTCAGACCCATTTCATTGCTTCCGAAGACATATAGTTATTTATATAAAACACGAATACTTTGAAAGAAATACCCTGATGAGAGTAATGCCAGATACACTGACCCAGGAAAGAAGGATGGAGGGAAGAACCCAATGGTTCTAGTAAACACCAGCATGTTTCGTATTATCTGTGACAACTTACATATCTTTTTTTCTCTTTTTTTTTTTTGGACTTCAACTTCTACTTTGAAAGAATCTAAGTTTATGACTTGTGAAGAAAATGAATTCTAGAAGAAAATCTATTGCACAGGAATATTTTTGGTATTCAGGATGCCCCTTCCCTTTTATAAGCTAAGCTGTAATGCAAAGCATAAACATGAATCGATTCTAAAAATTTAATCCTGTGTGCTCTTTTTCTACATGGAATTTTTAAGTGGTGGGTAGGACAATCCCTCCTTTCCTTTCCCCTATCCTACATTTTCTTTTTTTTCCTTCCTATATCTCTCTCTTCACCACCCCCTTCCTTCCTAGAAGCTTTATGTCTGGTGACAAAAATGCAGCCCAGCATCAATGCCTCAGGTGGGAGCTTCCATGAAGAGACATCTAGAGTCTCCAAATGCTGAACAAATACTCATGGAAAAGAACTTGGAAATGGTCCATCTGAACACGGTTCAGGTCAGGTGAGAAACTCAATTCTGTAATCTTAGACAGAGTAAGGACAAGTCTAGCCACTGGTTAAGCAAAACCCTTACGTAAGTGAGCACAAAAGCCTTCAGTGACAATTGTCAATCCGAATAAATTAGGTTTCTCTCCCTCTCCCTTCTCTATCTATCTGGAGCTGAACAGACCGTGGCTTTTATGACAAGATCTGGGGGTTCAAGGGTGGGGTCTGGCATGAACAGAGCCTGCAGAGGCTGGACATCTGTCTTTCCTCTCTTTTCTGAATATGGCACTAGGCCAGGATGGCAAACAAAGTATCTGGAGCTGCAGAAGCCCCTGAGTTGGGCTGGAAGATTCTTTGCTAGGTAGACAAAGCCAAATGTCATGCTTCCAAACTCTGCAGAATCTGATGGCTATAGGCTCACAGTTCAGCTGATTTCTGATCCATAAACAACAGGCTTACCTTAGGTCTGGGCAGTTACCTTCATAGATAGTTTAGGTGAGTTATGCCATGTCTTACGTATTCGCTGCTAGGAATGTACTCACTTACCACAGACATTCCTAATAAGCACAGTGTATTTTGCAAAACTTCCTTTGAGCAAGTAGGAAGCAGAGTGAAATCTCCTCCCTCATCCTAGACCCACAGGCTTAGAACGAGTCTTCTATTTAACTATATTCCAAGAAAAGTGTCAAATGCGATGAGAAAATGGTAGGAGGAAAATTATCTGGCATGTGGTTGCTATCAGAAATAACTATTTCTTGTCACTTCTCCCATTTATCTTTGTGCTTCCAGGCCTGGGAAACTTTGGAGGGTTTAAAACAAAACAAAAAACAACAACAAAAAAGGCCTAGAGGAAAAACTTGATTGTAGACAGAGCCACAGAAGAAACTGTTAGTAATAACATGCCAAGTGATAATTTCTATTTTTGATAACATGGTTAAATAAAAAAGAGAAGCAAATTTAAAAGTCTTCATAAAATTTAACAATAAAAAGATAAAGCCTCACTGATAAAAAACGTAGAGGCTAAGGGACACCTGGATGGCTCAGTTGGTTAAGTGTTGGACTCTTGATTTCAGCTCAGGTCATGATCTCAGAGTCTTGAGATCAAGTCCCACTCCAAGCTCAGTGCCCAGCATGGAGCCTGCTTAAGATTCTCTCTCCCTCTGCTCACTCTCCCTCCCAGATAAGATCAAATAAAAAGTATAGAGACTGGTGTTATTGGTAGATACAGCTGGAATGACATGTCAGTGTGTGCAATCACAGGTAAGATTAATTTCTTACAGTCCCACTGAAAACTATGTTAGGGAATAAAAAGAGCTCTAGTCCCTAGGATGAATTTTATAGAAAGAATGAGTCTCGTGGCCATGAAAATTATTAGCAGAGAACTATAAATGACACCGGTATCCTTTCACCCAAAATCTAACCGAGCAGACAGCTGAGTGACTCTGAGTTCATTCTGGTTGAAGAAGGAGCCATGTACTTACTAGGATTCTAGACATTCTCAAGCTGCCATATATTTTAAACAGCATTTCAGCTGCTAGAGTTCTATTGGATCTATAAACATTACACCTTATCGTCTTTGAAAATTTTGGTATGTTATTGCATTTTAGAGCTAGACATGATCTTCATTTTTTTCTAAGATTTATTTATTTATTTGAGAGAGACAGAGCATGCTGGGTAGGGAAGGGGCAGAGGGAGAGGGAGAGAATTGAAGCAGACTCCGAGCAAGTGGAGTGTGAGCCCGGCACGGGGCTTGATCTCATGACCCTGACATCATGACCTGAACTGAAATCAAGAGTTGGACACTTAACTGATTGAACCACCCAGGTACCCCACGATCTTTAGTATAATGAAGTCCACACTTATTACTTTATAAATGAGGAGACTAAAGCTCTGGGGGGGGTGTCAAGTGTTTAAGGTCACAGAAGTGATGACACGTCCTCCTATGGGAATGTCTGCGTCCACATTGGAGATTCTCCCTTTCTCAGTCTTTAGTGGGAATCATTTTTCCCTCTGCTGTCCTCATATTGGGGCTTTTCAAAGCCCCTCATATTGGTAATCTTGGTGGAAGAGCCAACAAAGGAGGTGTTTAAAGAGAAGGTTGTACATTTTATTTCCTTTTGTCCTCATGCTGGATCTTTCATTTAAATATATTTCTACTAAGTCTCACCTTGATGGACATTTGTTTTCAACCTCCTTTATTCTTACAATCGAAATAGAACTTACGAAATAGAACTTAGCTGTAACTCAAGCCACCATCCGCCCTCATTAATCTGTTAAGGAATACTTTCGCTTATCTAAATCTGGAGTAAGCCTTACCACACACCCTTCTCTTGCTTGTGGGGCGAAATGGCTCATTTTAATTAATTTAAGGCTACTTTCTTTTGAATTGTCCAAAAATATCACAAGTTTGCTTAAGGAAATTTAAATTTCTCCTGAGTACATAGGCTTGGGTAGATGTAATTCATGTTAAAGACAGAAAATTTTTTTTTTTTTTTTAAGACAAGACTTCAGACCTCCTTACCTGGAGATATCAGAACAGCAGATGAGAACAAAGCAATCTCCTCCTCAGTCAGCTGCAAGGAACACAAATTCTTTGCAAAGTCAAATGCTTCATTCACTAGGTCATCGGAACCTATAAAAGAAGGCCAATTAAATGAGAATAATTGAATGGAATGGGGCAATAGTAAGGAAAGCCCCATAATCCAGACGGTGTTCAGGGATTTGCACACTAGGCAAAAATTTTTCCAAGTTCCTAGTAATTACAGAATGAGGAAATTGGGCAACATCTCAATCAAGCACTGAAAATTAACGTTACACCAATGAGGGGCCAATGGGGATGGTGTGTGCCCACTGTAGTATTCAACTGGGACTATAGAAACTAAAAATAATCTTGGAAGTCTGAAATTAGTTGCATCTAAAAATATTTAAATAAGTGATTTTGGGGATCCTTCAGTAGAGAGAGAACATACACAGAAAACCAAAAACATCACGCATAAGGGCTATCGGTCTTAGTGGCCCCGGAACCTCAAACTGAGATGTTCCAAACTTCTTACAGAACGAAGAGGAGGTAGCTTTCAAGTGGGTAACTTCCCTGAAAATCTTACTGAGGGGCAGGCATTCATTTATTTTTACCTTCTCACGGATCCCTTGTAGGTCAGTTGCTTAGCAATGGTGAATTTTGGCAAAAGAATGCTTCGTCCCTACACTGATCCCTGGTAAATGTTTATTTTATGAGGCTGGAAATATACCCAAGTTGCCTGCCAAGGCTTTTCCTCCTTTCTTGAAAGTCTAGCCTTGTAGAGGACATGGATGTGTATCAGCGGCAGAAGGCAAACAATGCCAGCCAGACGGACGTGCCGTTCGTCGCCCTATCAACTGACAGCACAGAAGGTGAAAGGGCACTGGCCTCTGTGATGTCCAGTGGCCACGTATGGAACAAATGGCACTGCCAATCGTTAAAACCTTTCCTGGCATCGGCCCATCTTCGCTAACATTCTTATCTGCTCTGCGACCGATGCCGGATGTGAATGAGACCCAGCACTTACAAAGACTGCCTCTGTGTGTGCCCCCCCACAGGAAAGGTCTGGGGGTCATGGGAAGGCAGGTTGGCACCCACTCTTCCTGTGCTCCCACCAGAACTTCATGGATTAACAGGGAGAAAGTCAGTGTTATGGGAGAGAAGCAAGTGAAGGAGCTCTTCTTTTCATTAAATATCTTAACGATTATGCATTTACAGAAGACACCAAGAGATCACTCACCCATGGACCACCAGTGGTATACCTAATGTACTTTGTGAGGCAGTAAGCTAGAAGGGAAAATAAAAGTTGATCTTACAAAGAATAATCTAGAATGTCTCTCAGTTCTTTCGGAACCGGTCTCCATTGATTTCTGAATGAGGTGTGGTTGATCTCAAAGGGGTCTGTGGTTCTCTCCCACCTTTCATATTAGGATGCACAACTCTTAAGATCCTAGATAACACTGGTCCAGCCCCTGTCAAGTGAGATGCTAGTTCAAATTCAAGAATCAAGGCATTTCATTTACCAACTTCTCAGTGGAGAAACTGATGGCAGCTAAGAAAATTGTGTCATCATCAAAGGTAAACTCACCTAAGGCCTTGAACATCTGCATTCCTCCATATTTTCCTTCAAACAGAACAGTGTTGTTTAATGGGTTGAAGGCACGGCACATTCTCACTAAAACCACTTCCAAGCAACCTATGAATAAAAAAATAAAGGAAATATGTGTATATGTGCAATAATAAAGAAGTTATTATTATAAAGGCTGGGGACTTCCAAAAAAACCTTGAAAACACACACACATATACGCAGGCACATAGCTGCACCCATTCAGAAATACCTCAGGATCTCTTCCCGAGTAAAAAAAATAGCTCTCTTCGTGCTTGTGTGAGGAATTAAAGATAAAATAGACCTTAAAGGAGGTTAAAATGGAAGGCAGCAACAATATGGTTTTTGGGAAGCATAATTTTTCTTTTTTTTTTTTTTAAAGATTTTATTTATTTGACAGAGATCACAAGTAGGCAGAGAAGCAGGCAGAGAGAGAGAGAGAGAGAAGCAGGCTCTCTGCCGAGCAGAGAGCCCGATGCGGGACTCGATCCCAGGACCCTGAGATCACGACCTGAGCCGAAGGCAGCGGCCTAACCCACTGAGCCACCCAGGCGCCCCTCTTTTCTTTCTTCTTTCTCCTTCCTTCCTTCTCTCTTTTACTAATATTATAGGTGGTTCCAACTCCTGAATCCACAAGGAGCTTTGCAGCAGGCAAGTCCAACCTGTTCCCTTTTGCAGAAGTTCCGCAGGGGCCTCAATTTCTACCATAGTCTATGTTAGGTTTCAGCACAGGACGACTTTACATAGGGACCCCTTCAGGGTGTTTCTGAAGGGCACCACAGACGTCCGATGTCTTTGAAATGAGGTTTTCTTGGTCAAATGAGTTTTGGCAAAATGCTGAATATGATCTCACTTCCGAGTTACAATCAGCATTCATAAGTCAAAGGCCTGGGGAAGCCTCAACATGAAGGAACTTGTTCAGCCTTGATACTAGCGTTTCTATGACTTCAATGTTGGCCCAGAGAGGGCAGGACCTGTGTCTGCAGACATTAGGGAGTCGTGGTTACTTTATTCACTATTACATCTCCAGGACCTAAAAAAGTTCCTGGCACCTAGTAGGGGCTTACTAACTACTTATTTTTATTATTTCTGTAAAGTTTTCTTTATTTGAGAGAGGAAGAGAGTATGCGGGTGGGGGGGGAGGGCAGAGGGAGAGAAACTTCAGGCAGACTCACTGCTCAATGAGGAGCCCTGCACGCTGCTCCATCCCATGACCCATGAGATCATGACCTGAGCGGAAACCAAGAGTCAGACACTTAACTGACTGAGCCCCCCAGGCGCCTCTAAATATTTGTTGAATGAACTAGTTTGCTGCCTTTGTTTTGCCCTCTGAACATTTATGGACATTCTGAGGAACCACCGTACAGGTGAATCGGCTAAGCCCATGGTTTCCCCAGGGTATCTGTGGTGCCTTTCTTACTTGCCACTGAATATTTATGTCTGTGTCTTACTTTTTTTTTTTGGTCTGCTGATTTCTCTCTGCTTTCCCTTATATGTCACCCAGCATAGGGGCTTACACATAGAAGGGGATTTGTAAATCTTAATTAAAACAGTGGTTTTTCTGGGGTACCAATCGTTAAGCGGCAGCCTTTGGGGAAGGCAGGTTATGGTCCCAGGGGCCCAGGATCAAGCCCGCATCCCGCTCCCTGCTCAGCAGGGGTCTGCTTCTCCCTCTGCCTGCCGCCCCCCGCCCCCCCCCGCTTGTGATCCCTCTCTCTGCTGTCACTGTCAAATAACAACTTTAAAAACAAAACAAAACCCCCCAAAACAGTGTGTTTTTCTGACAAAAATAATAATAGGTACCATTTATTGAGTATCTATAAGGGGGAAGGCACATTCCTTGGCCCCTGACATTTGTTATTTTATTTGTTCCTTACAATACCATTTCAGGTGAGTCTGATTAGCCCTTTTTTTTTTTAGGGGTGAGTTACGGGAGACTTAAGGGGTTAAGTACTCTGTCTGCCCTTTATACTAGAGTCAATGTTTTTACAGCAGGCAGAGATGTTAGAAGGTCATATGGTAGAGTGGTTCTCCAGTATCAGTCTATGGACTCGTTATACCTGAGACTTAGAAATGCAGTGACCTGGGTTCCCTTCTCAAAGACTCAGATCTGTGGGCCTCGGATGACGCCCACGACTCAGAACAGTCAGTGAGCTCCTCCAATGCTGCAGTGCAACTGGAAGTTTGGAATTCATTATTTCTACTCCATCTCTTTATTTTGCAAATGAGGAAACTGCCATCTCAAGAGGCTAGCTCAAGGTCACATATCAAATGTGGCAGATTTTTTTTTTTTTTCAGAGAGTCACAAAAATATCTTCCATCCCACATGCTTTTCAAGGGCCTTACCACTCCCCCATCAAGAAGAAGGATTCATGTCTTCTACCCTTGAGTCCTGGTGCGCGGTCATGGCTGCCCTGACTAACACGGTGAGGAGGAAATAACACAGCTAAGCCAGAAAAATGTCATGCACTGTGGCCTTGGGCGTTTGGAGTGCTAGCTTCTGAAACTAGCGAGCATGCTGCGAGAAAGTCCAAGCGCTCTGTTGAGAGGCTGACATGCATGCATAGGAACTGGGGCCTACAGTCCAGAGCCTTGGCCGAACTCTGGACTCAACCAGCCCACACTGGCAGCCAAGGGAGGGGATCCTCCTGTCCTCAGCCAAGTCGCTTCAGTGAACCCCACATGGAGAAAGAGACAAGCCGTCCCTAGCTGAGACCCGCTCACATGGTAGCTTTGGGAGCAACATCAATGATGTTATAACTATTCTATCTGGTCAGCTCGACCATACACTGGCTTTGGGGCATTGAACGCAGCCCTTCATTTCCTGAATCTTCCCCTCCTCCTCTAAGAGGGAATTAATACCAATGTCCCCAGACCAAGTGAGATGTCGTGAGTAAACATGAACATACGTAAAGTATGTTATGACACACACGTATATATAATCATTATTACGGCCCAGGTCCAGGAAGGTTAACATACACCATGATGGTTCCTATTTTCTATTTTGAAAGGGGGGCAGGGGTCAAGAAGGCAAATTCGTTTCCTGTTTGGGTAACGGCATCTGGGAAGTCCGTCGCGCGCAGACGTTCCTAGGTGACTGCGCGAGTCAGAGAGCAGGTATGAGAGTAGGGGACGGGAGATTAGAGCTCAGGGGGTTTCTCCGGGTGTAGACTGGCTGCAGGCTATCCTCATTAAAATGACGCGGAGTGACCACAGAGGCAACGCACTGCTAGCCTGGGTGTCTCCCCCAGAGAGAAGGCACGTGGCGCGTCTGAGAGCAGCTCAGCAGTTCAGCCGCCTTGACACGCTCATGACTTGCTTGGCCTGTCAGGCTGGGGAATCTCAACCTCCGCAATTAATAGCTCCACTTTCAATAAGCAAAATTGTATCTGACTTCAAAGGGGAACGGAACGAGTCTCAGGGCACTTCCATTACCGGGAGTCTCCTCTGGGAGTTGGCCGACCGTGTGGGTGGTAAATACGAACTACACCCTGGAAGGAAGGTCTTCCAGAACCAACACTGAGCCAAGGGTTGACAGCGTCCTGGTTGCCAACAGGCCCCCATGAATCTCCTCCCGGCCTACCTGACTTGAGAAGTAGAATCTGGTCGTTCTGACAGAGCTCCATGAAGCCCGTGATCCGCTTCGCGAACTCCACCACGTACTGGATGGCGTGAGTGATCTGGATGGCGCACTGTTGCCACAGCGCTTCCCTGGACTTCAAGAGAGAACCACGGAATGAATGTGGGGCCCAGAGCAATGTGGAGAGTCAGTGACGTAGTCAGGGTTTCCTTCCTGGTGCTCCCCTGTCACGGGGGGCCCAAGGCCAGAATGTACCCAATTCCTTTGAAAGAGGTAGACAATGACAATATTTTCTGACATATTGTTCTGACCTGTTCGAACCCTGATACATGATTAATGTACTGAGACGAAAATAATAGAAGCATTGCACTAAGGTGTAAAGATAGATGTTTAGTTTCTTTGCTCTTTTCCCCTCCTCTTCCCCTAAACAAACTTGGGCTCTTAGTCCGTTTTGGGAAAAAAAAAACTCTCGCACTGAGGAGCAGTGATTTCGTTCCCAGGCTTCTATTTGGTCATGTTCGTGGGCACCTAAGGAACACTGAACACTGAACTTGTAAGATTTTTACATTGTGTTCTTTTTCCAGAACTTAAGGAGAGTGCTGTTTGCTATAAAAAGAATTTCATGGGGAAAGACCTCAAACCATCAAGTCACTCTTTTAAGTAATTTAGAATCTCCGAAATGTATTTTTGACCCTTGCATTATCTTCCTTGGAACAGGAGACATAAATCCAAGTGTGTGAATTCTGCTTTTTATTGATCATAACAATAGCTATGATTTTGTCTTATTTATATAAAAGGGGTAAGATTTAATTATGCCAGTGGAGAAAAACCAATGTTATAATAATGTATTTATTGACTTATACATATTTTTTTTTAGATTTTAAGTGATCTCTGCACCTGACATGGGACTCGAACTCAAAATCCCAAGATCAAGATCACGATCCTGAGATCAAGCATGCTCTACTGACTGACCAAGCCAGGCGACCCTCATATGTTTAGATATAGACCCATTTATGTATTTTATTTAAAATCTCATTTACTGGTAGATCTTGTAATTGTAGATCTCCATCCCAAAGAAAAGTGATGTGACTATATAACAATAGCAAATTCCTTCTCTTAAAAACTTCTCTAGTGGATACAAAGTAATAATAATGATAATAATAATAATAATAAATTATTATAACACGAGGTGAGTTGTCCTTTTTTTTCTTTGGTCCTTTTTAACATGTAGGACAAGAAAAAACATTTAGGATGCTTTATGGCATATCTTTATAGTGTAAATTTGCAACTATTATTACTGCTACAATTTCTCAATTGTTTCTCTTCCTTGCCTGGCCCCAGGAAGCCACCATGAGAGGTCTTAAAGTCATCTGATGTGGGCACAGTCTCCCTGGTCCCTTGAATAGGGCAGTGTTTTTTAATTGGGGTGGTTTGGGCTCCCAGGGAACATCTGGCGGTATCTGGAGGCAGCTGATTGCCATGACGGTGTAAGGGGACGGCTACTGGCATCTGGTGGGCAGAGACCAGGGATGACGCTATGCATCCACCAGCGTGCAGGACAGTCCCTACACAAAGAATTATCCGGCCCTAATTGTCAGTAATGCTGAGGTTCAAGAAAGCCAGAAATCGAGAAATCCCAAGAAAAATGGTCTCATGATTTCCTAGAGTACCTTGCTCTGATAGGCTTTAATTTCTTCATAGGTGTGGGTCTGCCACGCCAGCTGGTGTAGCTCCTCCATGGTGTACTGACACGTCTCCAGATGGGACTTGATGATGTTCTGTGCAATTCGATCTGTGAGAAGGAAGATCAGTTAGAGGGTCTGTGAGTAAGTTCCCGCTCTGCAAAGAAACTAGCTGTTACTGTTTACTACAGGAATCCCTTTGGAGACACTCCAATTGTATTAGTGTCTTTTTTTTTTTTTAAGATTTTATTTATTTATTTGACAGAGATCACAAGTAGGCAGAGAGGCAGGCAGAGAGAGAGGGAGGAGGAAGCAGGCTTCTTGCCGAGCAGAGAGCCCGATGCGGGGCTCAATCCCAGGACCCGGGGATCATGACCTGAGCTGAAGGCAGAGGCTTTAACCCACTGAGCCACCCAGGAGCCTCTGTATTAGTGTCTTTAACCCTACTATCTATCTATGTATCTCCTAACTATTGTCTTTTTTTTTTTTTTTAAGATTTTATTTATTGAGAGAGAGAACACAGTGAGAAAGCACAAGCAGGGGGAGCGGCAGGCAGAGGGAGAGGGAGAAGCAAGGAAGCCCAACGCGGGACTTGATCCCAGGGCCCTTAGATCATGACCTGAGCCAAAAGCAGATACTTAATTGACTAAGCCACCCAGGCATCCCTCAATTTCTAGTCTTTTAATCAAGATATACCGCCTTTTACTCCCTCCCCCTTTTGGGTCACAAACCCGGGGCTTTACAAGTTGTAAAGTGTTCAAATAATTATTTTTAAAATAAATACAAATGACCATGTTTCCTGCTTTTTGGCCTAGAAGACCAGTAACACGCTTGATATTTCACTCCAAAGACTTTAAAAATATTTTGAAAATCATCAGACTCCAATTGTTTATCTCAGAAAGGGGGGATTTAAATATAATGTTATTGGCTTGTATTTTTAAAGAGAAGATAAAACAATAATCTAAAAAGATAAGTTCTCTATTGAGAAAAGAGAAGAGAGTAGAAGGACAATGTAGAGGCTAGATGCTCTGATATTATTTTTGTAGATTGGACTTTGGAACCATATAAATATCTTACATGATAAATAATGGCAGAGGGAATATAAATGAAACAGTATTGACTTGAGGTGATAATTATTGAAGTTGGGCCATGGTGAGGATTATATTCTCCTTTCTAATTTTTCATAAGAGGAAATTTTTCTTTTAAAAATGAGATGATGATTACATTCATAAAAAAGTAGGAACAGGGTGCCTGGGTGGCTCAGTGGGTTAAACCTCTGCCTTCTGCTCAGGTCATGATCTCAGGGTCCTGGGATCGAGCCCCGCATCGGGCTCTCTGCTCAGTGGGGAGCCTGCTTCTCTCTCTCTCGCTGCCTGCCTCTCTGCCTACTTGTGATCTCTCTCTGTGTGTCAAATAAATAAATAAACTCTTGAAAAAAAAAAAAAAGTAGGAACAAACAAAAGCAGTCTTTTGGGGCCATTCATCTCAAATGAGCTGTATCTGGTATTGTATCTTAAATACCGAACATTCTGGGTTTGGAGGTATGGCAGTTGAACAATAGAACCAGACATAACAGATCTCCTTAAAAACCTGCAACAAGTTTCCTAGAGCTAGACAGAGCTGGTAGGAGGTTCCCTCAAAATCCCCTCAGCTATTTGAACATACGAATAGCATGAGACCTCGGCAACACAAGTACCCAGGGATTCTATATAAGCGGGATGAGTAGAATGAATATGACCAAATCTTTTTTTCCACATAATAACTGTTCTTGGCTCATACAGGAATAGAATTTTTCTAGTGTCTCAGGTTATGCAATTTCAGATGCAATTTCTGTTCTTTCTAAATGGCCATATTTCATTCCTCCAGGATAACTCCCAGAGTGGTGCTGAGGCACCTTCTTTTTATCTCGCTAAGCTTCTGGGACACGTGGCATGAAATATATTGAGTTTTGGTGATGTAGAGAATAAAGACATGTACGCTTGAGCCTCCAGTGAGCTCTCCAAATAAAAAACCTTGTATAGCCCATTGCCTGGTATACTATAAACACTGAGTAAATGCTAGCCACACTGATCATTATTAGGACACTCTATAGAATTTGTCATCAGGGAAGCTACGTGAGGACTCCAATGGACACCAAACAGGGAGATTTTATTTCGCAATCAGTGCCACTGGAGGAAGATATTTCAATATTTCTTAGAGTTTTCCAATCAGAACCATTAAGTGCTAGATGTAGAAGATGCTACAAAATGCTAAATTATGATCACAGTTATTCTCTGCAGTTGAACTGAATGAATTTCTAGACTCCCATTGCTTATCATATTCTAAAATCCTTTCTTTAAAAAAATCCTATATTCAAAATTTTATTGAATATCCTCCGATGTTATAAAAAAGGCAGGAATTACTTTATACACCATATTAAAATAGATTGGTATGTCACGGTTCATCATTTTTCAATTTCACTTGGGCAGTCTAATTATTTAGAATCTAAAAAAAAAAATCTATTCCTAAGAATATGATGAAAACATAAGGTTTCTATGGCTTTCTAGTTTTTAAACCTTTATCTTCTTGCTGTAGTCTGTCTTCATCTTCAAAGATATGCTGATTTGTCAGTAATTTACAGGCTTCAGGGTTTATAAGCAAAACTGCAACTGCCACTCAAAATTGCATTATGGAAAACTCTATCTGTCCCTTTATGCCATCTCCTGGGAACTACTGGCCAAGGTTTAAAAACTCTCTAGCCTTCTGCCACCAAAGCTTGGGGTCCTATGGGGAATAAGGAGAGGTGGGCATAATAAATACATAGACGGGTTAAACAAAACCGGAAGTAAAATCCACACACATGCTCAGATGTCCACTCCCTGCAAAGGTTTCCCCGCTTCCCTGTGTCCTCAGGTGGAGGGGTCGGCTGCTGTTACACGTGATTCCACATCTGAAGAGCCCTGTTCCACTTAAACTTGGATTGTGGTTATTTGTGTGGATGGGTCTGTTCCAGACCTTTCGAGGTTGTGTGTGTGTGCTTTTCAAGAACTGGACAGCGGAGCCTAGCAGAGTGCCTCCACACGCTCATTCAAGAAATATTTTTTGAAAAGCTATTTTATACCAGGTTAAGGTACAGATCTCTTAAAATAGGACATTGTCTTTTTTAAGGGGTCTTACAGTATCATACATCATAACATATCATATCATAATGTAATAAATGCCCTTGAGTTGTTCTGGGAGCCCGAAGGAGAATGTCTCCGACTCAGTCTGGGGGAGGCAGAAACATAGCCATAGAGAAGATGCCTGTTGGTCTGGGTCTGAGCAGGGGTTTGTCATGGGGAGAAGAGAAAGGCACACACCTCTGGGAGAGGGGCTGCCCTTACAAAGGCACAGATAGAAAGCTATTAGGAGATAAATAATTTCTGCTCCTTATAAGCCTTACCTTTTACCACCAATTTCCCTTTTACCAAGAGAGAGACTGAGTGCCTCTAGAGCCATTTTTATAGAGCCAGCAAATGGTGATTTGAAATCAGGTCTGTCTTTCCTGGCAAGAGCTCTGTAGCGCGTGCAGCAGAGAGTGCGCGGAGAGATGGGAGAAACGAGGCTGGGATGGAAACCGGCACCAGGAACCCAAGAGCGGAGTGAGCCGGGGCTAAAGAATATGGGTTTTTGGGGCACCTGGGTGGCTCAGTCGTTAAGCGTCTGCCTTCGGCTCGGGTCATGATCCCAGGATTCTGGGATCGAGCCCCGCATCGGGCTCCCAGCTTGGTGGGAAGCCTGCTTCTCCCTCTCTCACTCCCCCTGCTTGTGTTCCCTCTCTCGCTGTGTCTCTCTGTCAAATAAATAAATACAATATTAAAAAAAAAAAGAATATGGGTTTTTTATGTTACAGCAACTGGGAGCCAGTGGAAGCTGTGGAGCAAGAGAGTGACCTGGTGGGGTTCTTCTTTTATGAAGGTGACCTTGGCCATAGCAAAGAAGAGGCAGGTGCAGGAGGGTGTACCCAAGATTAATCAGACCATGGTGAGAAGTCAAGCAAGAGAGCAGGAGGCTCTGGCTCCAGGACAGTTCCGAAGCAGGGTGCACGGGACCCGGGGGTGTGGCAGCGAGAGAGAGAGGGACGGGAGACAGAGCATTCAATGTGGAAAGTACTCAACCAGTGCTGAGTTAGTAACGGTAATGCTGAAAACGTCCATCCCTCCATCCCTCCCTCCGCTCACTAGTCTTCCATTTTCTGGAAGATACATTATTTCACAAAGGATACTAGGGAGCTTATACCACCCCGTGCTAGAGGATCTTTTTTTTTTTTTTTAAGATTTTATTTATTTATTTGTCAGAGAGAGAGAGAGCGAGAGTGAGCACAGGCAGAGGCAGAGGGAGAAGCAGGCTCACCGCCGAGCAAGGAGCCCGATGTGGGACTCGATCCCAGGACCCCAGGATCATGACCTGAGCCGAAGGCAGCCGCTTAACCAACTGAGCCACCCAGGCGTCCCCGTGCTAGAGGATCTTAAAGCCTAAGCACTCCCAGCGGTTTTGAGGTCAAACATGGAACGCGCGCCATTACTCTCACACCCTTTCGGTGAGAAATCAAAGGTAAATCTGACGTAAGAGTCAGGAATATCCGCGAGGCGAAGGCACAGCGCGGCCCTGCTCCGCGCGCTCCCGCGGGCGCGCCCTGCAAAGGTGAGCCGCGCGCAGGACCCGCCGTGGGCCCCTCGAGGCGCGGGTCACCACACCGCAGGGTGCACTAGACTCTGCCCCAGGGAGCAGGCCCGAGGGCTCGTGCTGTCCATTAGAAAGGCACGCGGCCGTCAGACGAGATGCTCTGCCCGGACCGAGAGTCTGCGGTTGTGTAAAGGGGAGAAGGATTTCAGAAGAAGGGACAAAGGGAGCGACAAAGAATACAGGAGGCGACGTTCCCGCTAGGAGCCAAAGGAACTTTCAAGAGCCCTTGCCTGGAAAAAGAGAAAGGGTGAGAGTAAACGCAGTCCCCTCCAGGGACCGACCCCATGAGCAGTCCGGACAAAGAGACTGAGGTAAAGGAGCTGAGCACACGGAATCTCTCCGGGCAATCGCACACCCTTCATCCGTTTCCCGGGCTGGGACGGCGCTCGCTGGTCGGAGCCTCCTT